TGCCCGCCCAGGGAGCAGCGCGGCTGCAGCACAAGAGGGGGAGACCCTGCCCACCCGTGGGGGCAACCAGAACCGGCCACAGGGAGCCCGCTAACCATGGGGCACCATGGCCCCAAGGACTCTGCTCGCCGCAGCCTGGTGCTGGGAAAGGACCTGTGGCCAGGCTGGAGAGACTGGAAGAGCCATAAGCCCCAGGGGCAACCACTGGGGAGCTGCTGGCCACGAGGACAGTGCCTGGTAGTGGGGGCAGCCTCAAGAAGGGGTGCAGGGAGCACTGGGGTTGGAGTGAGCCCAGCCCCATTGCCCCAGAGATGGTGACAGGATGAGCTGCTGGCATATGGTAATTTATTCTATTTATGAGCTGCTCCCTGGACCTTTATAAGGGTTTTTCAATTAAAAACAAACACTTTGTCCTACTGCAGTGGGGCTGGCTGGGGTGGGGGGACATGTGGGGACACTGGGTTACCCCAGCAACCGCCCCACAGCCGCCTTGGCGCTGGCGATGCAGTCATTGACGGAGACACCAGCGTAGGAGGCCCCAACAAGGCTGAGGGGCAACTGCTGCTCCACCAGGAACCGGCTGATGCGCTCTGGAGGGGATGGGGACAGACGGTGGGTGCCTTTGGGGGGACAAGGACCCCCAGGCCCTGAACCCCCCTCTTACCTGCACGCTGCCAGTGGCCCAGTGTGTACTGGGGGATGCAAGCCTGGGGGTGGAAAGCACCTGGTGAGCACTGTGAGACCCCAAGCCTCTCAGTGTCACCCTCCAGGGCCCCCAGTGTCACCCACCTGGTGCACCCGGACGATGGAGCGGGTCGGGGCCGGCTCCAGGCCCAGCTGCTCCCGCACGGCTGCCTGTGCCCGCTGCAGCAGCAGCGCTGGTGCCACCAAGGCAGGGTCCCCAAAGCTCTGCTGGAACCAGGCTCCTCCCAGCATTACCTACATGGTACTGTCAGCACCCCTGCATGGTCCCCGTGTGTGTGCGTGTCCCCAGTTCCCAGCTGCTCACCGTCAGTCGCACTGAAGTGGTGCTGGAGCCGTCGTGCTGAGGAAAGGCCACTGAGTCATAGACGATGCCCAAGAGGGCAGAATCCTCAGAGGAAGGCACCAAGTGCCCAAAGCCCTGAGCGGGAACAGCAGTGTGAGCAGGACAGGGTCACGCCTGGGCGCTAGGGTCACCCCTGGGTGCTGCTCTCACCGTGACAGGCAACGTGACTCCCTCATACTGCAGGTTGACCACGGCCACCGACACGGCCGGGATGTGCCGCAGCTCCCGCGCCAGCGGCTCAGCCTCAGTCTGCAGCGCCTCAGCCAGGGCTGGGGGGAGAGGGGACATCAGGGGGGGACACCACCATCTCCCCACCCCTACCCCAACCCAGGAGAACCTGGGCATCCGGGCACCCCCCTCACCTGCAGCTGGGATGGCGCTGATGACATGGTCAGCTGTGACAGTGCCATCTCCTAGGGTGAGC